CCACGCAGTCCTCCGGGCCTGGCCCGCCACGCGCATGTGATTGTTCATCCCTTCTTCTCGGGCTGCAGGGCTGCTGTCAGGGTTCAGCTGGGATTTGGACAGCAGGGCAGCCAGGTTCCACAGTGACCTTACTGGACTTATTGTCTGTCGTTGGCTAAGGTGACAGGTGTGCATGGGGCCAGTTTACAGAGAATCAATCCCTATTTGTACTAGCTCATCGCACACTGGGCAGAATCTTAAGCTACCCAATGATGAAAGGTTTATGAAATACAATCCTGGCTGCCCTCTGCTCAGAAGTTAAAGACCTCATCTGCTTCCCATTTCTTATTTCTTATGCCCTTTCCTTCTTCTTTATCTGCAAACGCTAAAATCATTTCTATAGTAAAGTTTTCTTAACTTGAAGGCGTGTGGATGGCAAGAGAATGCCATTTGGCCTAGAATTCGAGGTCCCTTCCATGACGTTAATTCTTTTCATAGGGCTGTTCATGGTCCCCTGCAAAATAGCTGACCCATGAACCGGGAAGTAAATGGTGCATAACATGAATCTGGTTAACCCAAGGGGCAATGTGAGTCTCACAGATCTGATGGGGAGATATACTTGAGCGTTCTGAATCAGAAGGAAGGAGCACTGATTGTAGTGTAAGGAAGTGCAGTTTCAAAGTGTCCCATTCCAATCACAACTTCCCCAATCAGCATTTCATTGAGTCAGTCATTCCCTCACTTCTAGTCACGGGCCACCCCCAACGAAGGACCAAGCTGCTCCCTGTGTGAACAGTTGCGGCAATAGACAGTCACATTTCGAAGCCTGATAGATACTGAGACTCAAATGGAAAATGGAAAGGAAGAAAGTCAGCTCCACTGATGATGATTTCCTTTTCACTAGGTGAGGAACAGGCCTGTTTGGAAAAAAAAAAAAATTCTTCTGTAAATAGCCAAGAATCAGCTTTGCAATCTGTGATTACAGCAAGGAGCTGCCCCAGGCCTGTTCTGGTGATGTTGAGCAAGGAGAAGTAGAGGATCCTTCTCTAGGAGGCTCCCTGCTTCCCTGTATGCTTTTGTGAAACAAGAAGGCTACTGGGAAATTTGACTCAATGTGGTAAACGCAAGCACTGAAAGAGATACCGCTCTCTGGATACTTTAGCACTGAGCAGCATTCAGAGGCCAAACTGGACTTTTGTTCAGCCGTCCCTGAGGGAGTATTTTGCCTCAGTGGATGCACCATTCTGGAGCTCCTACCTCCAGAAAGCTAAGTGCCCAAGTATACAAGCTTCACTCAGTGATACATAGGAGGCCACATCAATTTGGTTGAAAATAATAAAATGAATGAAAATTTGTTGGTGGCTCTGATGCACGGTTATTGTTGGATGGGGGTGTGACTGCTATTCCCATTTCAGACATGGACTTGAGATGACACAAAGTAAGTCTCTTGACTTCTAGTGGGCAGAAGTGGGATTTGAACCCGGGGAGATGCAGCTCTAGTCCACTTGGCCAGATAAGAAGCCACACCATCAATAAATGGGCAAAGGAACTGTACAGACACTTCACAGAAGAAGAAATATGAATGGTCGACACATATATGAAAAAATGGTCAACATCTCTACCAATTAGAGAAATGAAAATTAAAACTACCCTGAGATTCTATCTCAGTTCAGTAGAACAGCAATTACCAAGAATACGAGTAACAGTAAATGTTGGCAAGGATGTGGGGGAAAAGGTTCACTCATACATTGCTGGTGTGACTGCAAATAGGTGCAACCACTCTGGAAAGCAGTATGGAGATTTCTCAGAAAACTTGGAATGGAACCACTATTTGATCCAGGTATCCCATTCCTCAGCATTTACCTAAAAGACTTAAAATCAGTATACTATAGTAATAATGCAGCCTCATCAATGTTCATAGAAGTTCAATTCACAATAGCTAAGCTATGGATCCAACCTAGATGACCTTCAATGGACAAATGGATAAAGAAAATGTGGGATATATACACAATGGAAAATTATTTAGCCATAAAAATAATGACTTTACGATTTTTTGACCATAAATGGATAAATCTAGAGACCATTGTACTAAGTCAAATAAGTCACCCCCGCAAAAAACAAACAAAAAAAGGTAGAATGTTCTCTCTGATATGGGGATGCTAATATATTTTGGGTGGGGGCAGAATAGAAGTTAATTGGATTGGACAAAGGGGAATGAAGGAAAGGGCAGGGAAATGGGAATAGGGACGAATAGAATGAATCGGATATAATTTCCTATATTCACATATGAATACACAACCAGTGTAACTCCACATCATGTTCAACCACAAGAATGGAATCCAGCTTATTTTATATTTTATTTTATAAAATATTTTATTTTATAAAATAAGTTATACTCTCTATATATATAGTATGTCAAAATATACTCTACTGTCATATATATTTAAAAACAACAACAACAACAACAACAAAAAAAAGAGAAGCCACCCCAGTGACAACCAGCATCGCCTCAGGATGCCTGTCCTGTGTCAGCAGGGCAATGCTGCCTGTGTGCGGAAAGCATCTACTAGGGTCAGATATCGCTGTGTGTTTTATTTCATTTTGATTTTTAAAAATTTTATTGCAACACAGCAGGTTTAGATTGAAGAGCCCAGGCAGGTCTCTAGGTCTACAAATTTACCTGGTGTATTTCCAACCCTAAGTTACTGACTCCTCTGGCTGCCATATTCTTCCCTGTGCCTTGAATCTAATACCTTCTCCCTCCCTCTCAAAGCCTATCATGACTCCCACCATCTCCACAGAACTTTAGACAACTGCCATGGAAAATGGCCATCTATTAGGTGCTGTCTGATACAATTAGCTATATGTACAAAGCATTTGAAACTCCATTAAAATACTAAGAGCAATCTACGGGGTTTTGCATGTTTTTTTCTGTACCAATAAATGTGTTGTTTCATACTGTGTATTAATTTGTAATCTCTCATCTCATAAAAATAGCAAAAAAGATTGTATGTAAGAATATTGGAGAGATATTTGAGTCCCTTCATAGCATAGCAATTAGCTTAGGATATTATTTTTTGGGATTATTTGAGAGACAACTACTTAGACTCTAATCCTGACTGCGTTCCTTAAGACTTAGGTAGCAGGGCACAATTTTTTTCCTGAGCCTCAACATCCTCACGTACGCAAGGGGCGTGATGATAGTTCCACTTCCCAGGTTGCAGGGATTTGGTGAGAAAAATGCACTGACCACAGTCATGACTGACAAACAGCAAATGGTCAATAAAAATTGGCTATGATGATTAATTCCTATTGTTGACACACATATGGGAGCTTAATAAAAATTGATAACTGTATGGATTTATTGTGGGACCCTGACAGATGTTCGTGTCCCTTCCTCTTCCAGGTCGGGACTTTAGACTTATCAATGAGCTGTGGTCTTTATCTTCAGTCTGGAGAGAAGTGAGATAGTGGTAAAGGGAAGCCGTTCTGCCCTCCCTACTGCCCTGTTATCATCTGCTGTCACAGTCTTTCCAAAGCATTTAATTACACATGTCACTGTGCTGAGCACTGCACAAAATGACTCATCTGTAGATAAGGCTCTTGTCCATTGGGAGCTTACAATATCAAGGGCATTTTGATAGACATATGAATTAGAACTTAATGGCAAAAAAAAGAAATATCAAACAACATAAAACATCTTTAAAATTAAAAGAGCTCTTAGCAATTATTCCATTTCTTTAATGTTACAGACAAGAAGCCAGTGTTCCCAGAGGTAAAATGACCTGACCTGGCCCCTCAGTGTGTATGGGGGAAGGACTGGAACCCAGGTCTCCAGGTTCCAGGACAGCTCCCAATCAGGTGAGCTGGGCTGCACAACTCAGGAGGGCTGTCTAGATTCACCTGCAACCCAAGATGGACAGTCTCTAGGACTTGTGCCCACGAATATACACAGACAAGTGCTCCATTTATGCAGTTTATAATATATATATAAGATTTTTTGGATTAAAAAGAAAGAATAGTAAATAGCTGCATAGGGGTATCGAAGAACATTTCAAAACTGTGTGCTGAATAGAGTCAGGGTATGAATTTGTCAGAATCATTTAGGGAAGGTTCTGTGAGGGGCCAAGTTTTACAGAATTTTTGTTCACATCATACAACTTGCTGCCCATAAGAGGAAGCCAAAAGTGAGAACCATCAGCTTCCCAGGACTTAGAATTCTATCTCTTAAGAAGTCATTGAATCCATTCAATGACTTCTGGCTGATTTTTATTCTTACCTATCACCAAGGAGATGAATGTCTATAACTCTCTGAGGACATTTAATAACTGCATACAAAGTCTATACTTAGACAGTTCTTCAGTTCATCTAACTTAAATCTGTCTTGCTGCACATCAAGGCACATATTTTATTCTTTTTAGTGCATGTAGATTTATTTCTCTTTGGAAGACATTTCTCTATATTCAGTCTGAAGACCTTCTCAAATCCCCTGTACTTAATCTCTTTTCATGGTATTAAGTGTACACGGATGACTTAGGAAATAAAGAAAGCAAATGAAAAATAGGAGTGATATAGGTACTCTGAAACAGGAGTGACAGGAGGAGAAAATAGAAAGTTATTTATTATTTTCAAAGCAACTAAATGGAAAGGTTGATGAGAGGGAGAGGGAAAAAAATCTGTCACTGAATGATATTTCCATTGGAGAGGAAAATAGGAACCAACAAATGAAATTTGACTCATCCTTGTAAGTTTCACTGAGCATGAAAATATCCCTTTAAAATTTCCCGCAAGCCGTTGCTGGCTATGGGATTTTTCCAGTGCAAGAGGAAGCTGAGTTCAGGAGGCCAGGGAATGCCAGGGGGAAAGGGATTTTCTGATGCTGGGGGCTCTGAGACTGTCAAGTTTAAAAAATGAAAGTAATATAAAAGAGGCAAAGTGGCATTTATCATTCCATCTCTCCAGGCTCCTGTCTCTTTAATCAGCTAGCCTGATTTGCCCAGTAAATGATTCCTGAGTGTGTGTGTGTGTGTGTGTGTGTGTGTGTGCCCGCGCGCGTGTGTTGTAGCTCTGTCAATCCTTGGATTAGAACCAATGACTGCTGCTTGTAGGAGGGCTGTCCAGGGCCAGATTGTACAATGGGCCTCAGTGCCAGAGTATGAGTGGAGATAATTACGGAGAAGTCACACTCTCTCGCACCCTCCGCTTCCTTTTTGTGTCCTTCAGCAAAACAGTGGATTTAAATCTCCTCCTAGGAGCTTGAGAGCAACGCAATCTATCAGGGAAAAAAAAAAAGAAAAAGAAAGAAAGAAAAAAAAAAAAAACCCCAACCTGACAAAAAAGAAGAAAAAGAAGAGGAAAAAAAATCATGAAAACCATCCAGGCAAAAATGCACAATTCTATCTCTTGGGCAATCTTCACGGGGCTGGCTGCTCTGTGTCTCTTCCAAGGTAAGAGCTTGCTATTGATTTGCCTACGGTAGACCCAGGGATGGTACAGTGTGCTTAATATGATTCGCAGACTCCCGGAGTCGGTTCTGCTGCGCGGTTTGCAGGTGGAAGAGAGAGCGTTGAAACAGCATGGCTGGGACTTCATTCTCCCGACCAGGCTGCGAGAATATTGATTCGATTCTGGCTGCTACCGGAATGGGAGAATGTATATGCATAAGTAAAAATGTGTCTGCTCCTCCTGTCAGGTCCGCGGTTAATGTGCTGGGCTCCTTGGCTTCGTGCACATTCTTGCACACATACACAAGAGAGCCCACATGTAAGCAGGGGAACGCTACGGATGGGGAGGATGGTGGGGTTGCTGATGTGCTGCTTATGTGACTGGGAAGAAATCACAGGAGGAAACTTTAAATATCGGCCAGTGAACTTGCAGAGCTTTTAAAAAGAGCAAATGGGGGAAGAAAAAAAAAACGCAGGCTAGAAATAATCGGGTGCCTCCTGAAAGGTGCTGGTCAGTGATCTGGCTCCAGGGATGAATCAATTTGCAGCAGTGGTTGAACAACTGTGTTAGTTTAGAATGTGTTTGGGGGTGTGTTTGTGGTGGGGGCCTGGGTGGAGGTGGGGGTTGTGGATAACGGAACAGATAAAAAGGAGTGAAAGCAGAGGGCTCTGAAATTCAGGAAAGCTTTTTTTTTAAGTTGAAAGGAGAGAGGCAATCAGAGCCGAATGCTAATTTTCTGTTTATTTATTGGCTGGTAAGCTAAGCCAGGGGCTGCAGTTGAGAGCCAGGCTTGCTCTCTTGCGGTGTGCGCTTTGATGTTTGCTGTGCTGGGTGCAGGTGCATTTGGAATCTGCCTCCACCTTGAGTCCGTTTGCTGCACTGTGGAGCCCCCACCCCCCTGCCCCAGCCCTCTCACTGATTCCCGCAGCAGAATGAGCTGCTCACCTGCTTGTTCCCACCCACCCTGTCCTTTGGGGGTTCTTTCACATTAAACACACTTAAACTCGTAGGGTTGACACAGGCAGAGAAACTTTCCCTGGGTGGTCCAGCAGGGATCTCCAGGAGGGCCCACCCAAGGGAAGTCGGGGAGCGGCTGTCCTAAGCAGTTGTATTCCCAGAGGAAAGTTCAGTTGGGCAAAGTAAAAAAAAAAAGAGTGGGAGTCCCGCAGCTTGCTTCTCTTCTCACTGCAATGTAGTGGTCTGGTGATTTTGTTCAGTTCTGTGCTCTAGTCCTGCTGATCTCTGTCTGAGGTCAGGCTTTGGGGATGGCCAATGTCCCTTGCAGATCTGCACAAGGTGGGGATCCCGCTGGAAAGAATCAAATGTGTGTGCACCCTTAGCTGGTGCTCCAGAAGGAAGGTGGAGGGATGGGAAGATGGAAGGGATCAGTGTCGAATGACAAGGAGGTCCAGGGTGGTGGACTTTGCAGAGATATCCATGACACTGCGTCTTGTGCCCAACCCCGGGGGCCTTGGATGGCTGTCCTCTCCCCTGGGGCATTGGTGTGTGAAAGAGTGAAGGGATTGAAGTTAAACGCATCCTTGGTTGACTCCTCTTACATAATGTGGAGCAGAGCAGTATGCGCATGCATGCGTGTGTGTGTGTGTGTGTGTGCAACACACGCGTGTGCCCCTGGGTACGCACCTTTAGGGAAACTGCTTCTTGCATCCTGACAACAGAAATGCAAACTAACTAGGCAAGGTATGGGGCTAGGAGTCCAGGGAGAGGAAAGGTCCCAAGCCCTCAGTCATCTCCATCTGTGTCTCTTCTATCTGAACTTCAACCTGGAGACAAGGGCCAAAATTCCACTGTCAACAGCCCCGCTGGCTGCATGCCAGGAGCCCCAGGGCCATACTGAATTTACATATAAATTAGCATACGTGATTTTTTTTTCATCAGAATTAAATGCAGGGAAGCATAATATTTGCTCATACTTTGAATCGTCCCTGAATAGATGAGTAGAAAGTAGTGGTACAAATTTCTCCAGGGAGAAATCTGATTTCATGGCCTCATTGCTGTCTTGGAGTGGGGGTAGTGGTGACCAGGATTATCTCAGACCTGGTTACATTCCACCAAATCCTGAATTTCCTAGGGCTTTATTTTTGCTAGCCACATTCAGTCAACTCTGAATAGGTTTCAATGTGTCATAATAGAACAAGGCTGCCCAATTTTAAGGCAGAATGACCCCCAAAGAACTCCCATTCCATATGCCAGGCGGATGTGGCAGAGGTGATATCTGTTTTCTCTTTCAGGGGAAGGAAGCTGGAGTCTGCCAGCTATCTCTTATCAAACTTACAGAATTACTGAGGCAGCCCAGGTCTTGCCTGCAATAATCCACCCCTATTGCATTGACCCAGAGGGACTAGTTAGAATGCAGTACACATTCCAAGGCAATTTTTTTCTTCTCTGTTTTTGTTTTAAACTGGCTCTTCCTGAGGCGGCTACTTCCAGTGTTTCCTGTCTCTGGAAAAGGTGTGTGGTTCTGGTGGCAGGTGACGGACCCCTCCCTGACCTGTGACTCCCCACAACCCAACCAGCAGCCATGATTCAGCTTAAAGAGGAGCAAGAGGGAATTTCCAAGGAATCAGCGTGCTGATTAGTGTGGGCAGCTGGGAGGGGGTGATTGGCTCCCTGGGGCACTGGCCCTGAGATTCTCCAGGGTTGATTAACTAGAGGCACCTCTTTCCTGGGAACAGGAGCAGAGAAGCTGCATCAGGCGCTGTCCTTTTCAGCACACCGCCCACCTTCTGCCAGGAAAGGCTCTGAAAAGAATGGCTGGGTGTGCTGCAGATTTCTCTTTCTAGAAACCCGACCATTTCTCCTTCGAAGGATCATTGTTCCTTTGAACACCTGCTGATTAGTTTGGTTAGATTCTTCTCATACCTTTCTAATTTTCTTTCCTCCCCTCACATTCCGTTATCAACTTGGCTGTTCACTAGAAACACAGACAGGGCAGATTGGAAGGGAGAGGAGGCTTGGCCAAGTTCATACTGTCCTTTGCTTGGTATTGAGGTCATAGGCACCATTCACCGAGGCAGACCAGCCAACTTCCTGCCACTCATGGTAAACATGTGAGTGCCTGCAGCAGCCAGAGCCACGCAATGCTTCTGAGATAAGAGAGTTGCAGAGGAGCCCATAACAGCATTCAATGGGAACACAGAATCATCAGTGGTGATGAGACTCTGGGCCCGAAGCAGGCATGAGGTCCCTGACAGCCATGCTTGAAGCTTCCAGCTCTCGGGTGGTGATAAACAGGGTATGCCGAGCACTACAAATGTAGATTCCCCCTACTTTCTGTTGGGGTATGGTCCTACCAACAGCACTGGTTCTCTGAGCATTTGCTGAGCAGTGCCAGCGAGGGTCTTGCTACATGACGATAATTCTTGGAATTGTCTTTAGTTACCAGGCATCTCAGGTTTAGTTTATTTGCCAGGTGCATACCTGCTCTTGGTGCTGATCCTTCCTTTTTTAGTTATTTAAAGCCAAGTATAAGTACAAGAACCCCTTTATATCTGTGATAATGTATAGTCCCTGACTTCTGTTCTTTCTTAGTAAGCTTCTCTTACAGGACTTGTATTAATTAAGGGGTCCTGAACAATGACTTTAGAATGTGTCTCTCGATTCCCCCTGCAGAGGTGCTCCACTCTGGATTGCCTTCTAGCAATTCCCTGGGGATCTCTTCTCTGCATGCTTTCATTCTGGCAGAGTTGAGACACAGGGACCAAAGCTGGTTCTGGCTGTGCATCTTGGATAGGTTGGTGTTGGCTTTAGCCACAATTATCCCCTGGGATGAAGTGAAATCTCATGATAACCTAAGGAGTAGCTGAATTTGTGAATCAATATGGGATATGTGATCCTGCCATATGCAAGAAACACATGCTGGAAAGATTGGCAATGCTCATGGTGTCCACTCGTGGTGATATTTGACTCTTTTCCAAGTTTTCTTTGTTTTTTTTTTTTTTTTTTCCTTCTTTTTCTTCTTTTAGCTCATCCCATGGCCTGTTTCTGCCTACAACTTAGAATGAAAAAGTTTTTTTTTTTCTTTATATCTAGCCTCAGCAGAGGTCCTACACACTCTTTAAACACCCCATGCACATGGCCTCCAGGTGTCAAGCCAGTTCTAGTGGCCTGAGCGCAGCTCAGTGGGGAACATGTACATATCTGAGCTCAAACTTTCCTGTGTCTTCTATAGGGAAAAATCTTTCCCTCTGTGAGCCTCTCTCCCCACCTGTCCGCCAGGCCTGGGAGCGACTCCCCTGGGTGTTGTAAGGACTCATTAATGCTTGTAACACTCCAAACATGTGGTGCTAAGTGGAACTCCATGCTGAGCCCGGTTGTATTTATGCGGTTTACTTCCTTTCTGCTCTATTGGCTCGTTACATGTTTACTTTATGTCTATAGTCATTTGAAATTCAATAAAAACAAATTAAACATAAAAAGTGAAAATATGCAAGCATAAGGTAGTGGATGGCATACAGGTTGGGAAGGGTGTCATCCTAGCGATTCTCTCCAGACTGTCCTCCTCCCTGGTAGCGGATGCTCCATTCCATTGGAGGGAGCACTGGGGAGGGGCCAGGAGCCTTAGAGGAAGCTGGCAGGGAGAATCCCCCACCCCATCCACTTGGAAAGTAGGTTCCAGATGGGGGTGCAGTGCCAGCAGTGTGAATGACAGAAAGGAGGACCCTTGGGAAGGATGGGAGCCAGAGATAGGAGCTTTCATGGTGGGGGTGGGGGGAAATCCCTGCTTTAATCTGGATTAGCAAAGGAGAGAAGAAGAAGAAAGCTCTTTCTGCTTTGCCTAGGATTTTGGCCAGTCACCTCTGAGAGTTTATATTGTCTTTTATGTATTTATTTATTCATGTTATCTTCCAGATTAAGCCTGTTCTCATTATCCCTGCTTAAACTTAAAGGTATGAGAGTTCACCCGCTTTCCCTCTCTTTCTCTCCCCCCACCCCACTCTGCTCTCTGCCCCCTTCTCAGTTCTGTCCATTTCTCTCTTTT